GTTGCAGGAAGAGAATCCCAGAGAGGAGCAGGAAAGCACAAAGACTGTTGTTAGCAGTGTTGAAAAAAGCCTGGCAGCTATTCATGCACAATTTCATTTAAAATGTGATACTGTTCCAAATAAACTTCTGATTAATTACCTGAAAGCTAATGTCACTGAAACTGAGATCAAGTTAACACTATTCCTAGATTCACAGCCAGACACAATAACTGGAAACAAGGTGATAACCTTTTACAAGAAGGATGCTTCTTGCTTTTACAAGAAGGATGACATATGCCAGACTGAAGAAGGACTAGAATTGTGTACTTGACAGACAAAGAAAGAATCCAATAACAAAAAAAAATTAGGTGGGGTGTCAAGATCACAACAGTTGTTCAGGAATAGATTTCAATGGAAATGAAGCTTTTTTTGGTAGAGGCACAGAACATGTAGCCTAAATTTGAGAAATGAGATGTGTCCCATTCCAACATTTTTTGTGTGTCTTAGATGTTACAGATAACAAACTTCAGAAAATGATGGAATAGTGGGGAAATGCAAGGCATTAGCAGAAGCCATACCAAAACAGAGCACAATTTAAGGGAATGTCACAAATCTTTGGATAGAGAGGGGACACAGAAGAGAGATGTGGATTTTATAGTCTTTCTTCTCCTTTTTGGACTCATTTGGGGAGAAAGTCTACATGCACTTTACTTGCTCTGCAAAAGCATATGTAGGTCTATGAAATTCACATCAGAGAGATGTGCAGGAAGGAGAACAGAATAATTCCTACCATTGTAATTTAGAACTAACACGGCCTTGTCAGGAGAGGTACAGCTTCTCTCAACTGTTTCTGCTCAGTGCAAGTCCCTCTTGCATTAAGTTGTGTATTTATTTTAACATCTACATTCGTGCCATCACAGTAGTGCATTGTCTTAGAGGATCAATTATAATTTATACAGAACACTGTAGGCTACAGTTCCAGTCTCACATACATCTGTACCTCTATCTATTATTCCTATCACCTGGGAAGGGATCATTATCAGCTTTAAACCACTTATTAAACCTTTTCCAATTCCATCCACTTCTATAACATTTATCACATCAAAACCTCCTGCTCACACATCCAAACCCCTCAGTGAAGTACTGTCCTCTGAAACATTACTTTGACTGCCTCCAGTGACTCAGCCACTTGATAATTAGCAATGTCCCTACCAAGATTGATCACCTAGAGTCTAATTAAATACTCTGTGTGAACATTTCCTGATTAAATTCAATTGCATTATGCAAAATTAACACCTATTCTTCATTTGAGCAACCTGTAGCAGTAGTACTCTCTTTTACAGCTTTGTTTCATCTCAGCTTCACTTTCCAAAGTTTTTTATTATAGAAATATTGCTATTTTTCATAATTCTGATGCTTAAAATATTCAAATGCAATCCTTCTGTAGGATAAAAGAACAAATAAGAGAACAACACCTGAACATGAGAACATCTCATCCTCCAAAATCAGTGAGCCTTAGAAGGATCACTAGCAGATTTCCCTCTTATTATGAGGACCACCAGTCTGTCACTCCTCAAGTACTTGCAAAGCATGGACTACTGAATAAATTGATACTCCACACAAATGAATTCATATAAAGGAAAAAAAAGCCCAAAACCAACACACACTCACACACAGAGATTTTTTTTCTATCCCTTCACAACATTGTTGTCATTGTGGCCTCGAAGCCATAAAATTACCAGTAAATTCATAATTTAATTTCTTCTTCCGAAAGCCTAGTAAAATCAGATCCCTTCTTCAGACAGTAAGAACATTTGAATTTTGGAGATACTGACCCAGTGAAATTTTTGCAACAATGTCCATATGAAATCTGCAGATACAATTCTTTGAAAAGTGACAGGGCACTATAGAGACAAAAAGACCTAAAACCAAGAAGGAGAATAATGTCTAAAGAGCTCTGGGTTGTATTATTTTTTTTATCCTAGTGCTCAGCTTAAAGGAAATTTTAGAATCATACAAGGTAAGCAAGATTAAAATAAGAGTTGAAAAGAAAGTCTACAAATCATACAGTCTAGAAATAATAAATATATACCACTATTATTAATATTACAAGATTTTATTAAACTTGAAACTTCATTAAAATAGCCAGTTCAGTCTTTTTTTTATCTTGGAAATATTTCCTGGTATCCTCACTTCTAAAGAAAACAGCTTTTTCATTCAGCTGGACACACACACAAACTAATGTAAACAAAACAATCATTATTTCAATAAGGAATGTCTGCTTACAAATTAGTTCCAAAAGAAAATCCAGAATTAAGAATTTAGAAATGCTCACAAAGAAATTACTCCTATTCTTGCCCAGAAACAAAGAAAAAGCATTCAGACATTGCTGCTTTTATCTTCAGATATATTTCTTCAGATAAGGTTAGTACAAGAGTTAAACTCCAGTTGCTCAGATGACCTATCAATACATAAATTCACCTGTATTACACTGTGTGAGAGAACAAAAAGCTGGTAATCCTTCCTTCCTCCTTAAAAAATGCAGCAGCAATTTGGTCCACTTACTTATCACAGCTCATACAGAAAAGCCACAGAAGTATATGGAAAAGATCCAGGTAGCTTTTTTTGTTGCAGTTCTAAAGAAATAAGATTATGGCAGTATGTACTGTTTTAATGAAATTGGATTACTTTGTGGAGATATTTCTCTTCTGCTGATTTCTTTTTCTTGGACACCTTTTTTATGTTCTGGCCTTAGAGTCAGAAACACTTATTTTAGGACCTAGCAGGTCTAGAATCAGGCTGGCATCCTCCACATTCCCAACCCTCAGTTCACACCACTCCTCCTAGAGTCACAGGATCCTGACACATACAGAAACAAACTTCAGCTCCAAAATAATTTTGTTGTCACAAAAGAAAAATTAATGCCTGAATAGTGCATGGTAGCTAAATATCTGTTTACTGAAAAGATGTTCATTTGTACTTTTGGATCCAGTTTTGAATGAAAGTAAATAAATAAATAAACCCAAACAACAAAAAAAACAACAAACCAAAAAAAATCAAACACAAAGCAAAAGAACTTCCAGACAAATAAAAAAATAAAAAACCCAAACAAACCAAGCAAAAGCACCCTGAACCTCTTGTTGCTCTCAAGTCATCTATGTTATGATCATTGCTCTACCAAGGTAGAGAATAACTGAGGAGCAGTTAAATTAATTACTGGTTAATGTTGTAAATACCCATCAAAGTTTCTTTTATCCACACTATTAAATAGGCCTTCTGTATATCTTACAGTACAGTAAAAGGTGAATTTGAAAGCTGTTTTCAAATCAGAAAACATAAAGTTTTCATAATTTAATCCCTGGATAAACTAGAACAATCAAGGTTTCCTATCTATAAATGCAACTATGCTAAAACCTTCCTTAATGTTGATTTTGCAGCACAATTATAATGTCACAAAAAGAACATTAAAGGATTTGATTAATAGTCATATGTAATGGTAACTACACATTCAACCATTACATACAGATGAAGAAATAAATTGCAAAAAAGAAATATAAGACTAATGTCAAAATTTATAAGACCGTGAAACATGAACATTAAAATCAACGAGGTCTGCAATGTTATTGCTTTTAGGTTTTTGTACTTTCCATAGCAGTTTCACTATTTTTCATTTGAACTTGACTGTTCTTTTCCCTTTTATAATGTTTCAGGTGAAATAACCTTTTCACCTTTATGAAAGTTAGCAAACGTTATAACGAATGATTCTAAACAAAGGAGTGCTGCATATCTGCCTATAATTACAAACCCAGCATTTTAAGAAATTACCATTTTAAAAAATATTAATATCAAGATGGTGAATTTACCAACTTTGAATAACAGTATATTCAGAGCAGCTCAGCAAAAGCATTTCCAAGAATGCCTATCAGTGGTTTCTGCACAAAATTTGTGCTTGTCAAGGATAAACACAACCTTTCAGCTACATTTATGCTTGCTTAGATTCCAAGGACATTTTTAGGCCTCCCTAATTAAGGCAATGCTTTACCAGTGCTCCTGCAGTTGCAGGTAATTGGCTATCACTAACAGCAGGAGGATGATGAGGATTTACTTTCTTAAAGTAAAAACCCTCCCTCCCTCCTCTCCAAAATAATCAATGAAAAACAAACCCAAAAGAGAAACCTGTTTTCTTCTTTTATTTCTCTAAGCTTAATCCTACAAACAATGGTAATGAATTCCAATTTAGTTTAGATTGTGCTAGGTGAGTTATTTTATCAGTCAGTTACATGAAAAATTCAAAGAACCTGGCTGAGTAAATAGGAATTTCTCATAGCTGCAAATATTGCATTTAACAGTAAATGTTCAATTTTAAACAGAATCACAGAATGAGTCAGGTTGGAGGGTACTACAGTGGGTTATTGGGTCCAACCACTGTGCTTAAGCGCAGTTGTCCTGGGGTACATGGCACAGGATTGTGTCCAGATTGTTCTTGAATATCTTCAGTGGGGGAGAATCCATGACCTCTCTGGGCAACCTGTTCCAGTGCACAGTCACTCACACAGTAAAGTTCTTACTCATATTCAGTGCAATTTCCTGTGCATCAGTTTCTGCCCAATACTTCTTGTTTTATTATTATTTGGCACCACTGAGAAGAGCCTGGCTCCATCTCCTCCTTCAGATACTTATATACATTAATGAGATCCCCTCTCAGTCATCTCTTCTTGAGGCTGAACAAGCCCAACTCCCTCAGCCTTTCCTCATAAGAGAGATGCCACAGTCCCTTAATCATCTTTGTTGCCCTCCACTGGACCCACTCTAGGATGTCCATGTCCCTCTTCTATTAAGGAGCTCAGAACTACATGAAATACTCCATTTATGGTCTCAGGAGGGCTGAGTAGAGGGGCATGATGACCTCCATCAACCTGCTGGCAATACTCTTCCTAAAGCATCCCAGGATTCCATTCCCCTTCAGGAACAGACTGTTCCAGCCTGGGTCCTCCACAGGGTCACAAGTCCTGCCAACAAACCTGATCCAGTGTAGGCTGCTCTCTCCATGGGTTCACAGGTTCTGTCAGAAGCCTGTTCCAGTGTGGGCTTCTGATGGGTTCACAGGCATCCAGCTGCTCAGGCATGGGTCCTCCACAGGCTGCAGGTAGATGTCTGCTCCCTCATGCAGCTCCATGTGCTGCAGGGGGACAGCTGCCTCACCGTGGGCTTCACCAGAGGCTGCAGAGGAATTTCAGCCCTGGTGCCTGGAGCACCTCCTCCCCTT